CCGTTGAGTCGAAAAGGTGGGCACGGAGTCGGGTGTTCTTTGTTCTCTTCACTACAACCTCGATGCTCTTGACAGTTCCCCAAGCCTGTCGTTTCCTTCTGCTCAGCTCTGGAGCTAGGTCGTTCATAGTATTGATTTCCCGACATAGATATAACTGGAGCATTCGTAGATGTTCGTTCCGGTCAGCGTGGATGAGGCAAGCGAAACCAACCCGTTCTTCATGAACATCGTTTTTGTGAGATTTAGTCGAAGACCAATCTTTCCACAGGCTTTATCAAAGTCGTCAAGCAAACGCTCCGCTTGGCTAATGTTCGGTGTTATAAGGACGATGCCATCAGCAAAGCGAAGATGGCGTAACTGTCCACCATCGATTTTCACTCCCATATTATCTCATTCCGATGTCTGCATGACGTTCTGGAGGGTGGCGGTAAATGATTTTGGCGAGATGACATCGCCTTACCTAGCTCCTCTTTTCACGTCAATGTTAATATCGTTGTAGAATGGTGGTACCTTGGTTGTGAAATTTTGTACTGCTCACAAAGAATCTTTATGCACTGAGTAGGGACTCCTTGACTATCAAGGGCTTCCAAAACTGCTTCTATCTTAGCTGAATCAAAGGCCTTCTGTAAATCGATGAAAGTGGGACAGAGCGGTCTTTTGTACTCTCGCGATACTTCAATGAGCCTTGTTACCGTGTGGATGTGGTCCATCGTACTAAATCCTTTTCGAAACCCTGCCAGCTCACATGACTGTCCTTGGTCTATTGTTCTGTCAATCCTGTTTAGGATGATTCGAGTGAAAAGTTTGTAGACGACAGACAGTAAACAGATTGGGCGATAGTTGCCGATATCGTGTAGGTCACCTTTCTTGAACAATAACATGGTCTTGCTGGTCTTCCACTGAGGAGGGACCTTAAACTCAGACAGGTAACGTGTGAAGAGCCGAGCCAGTGTGTTTAGGAAGACTGGCGGAAGGTGCTTCAGGTGTTCTGGTCTTATCCTATCTGGACCTGATGCTGTTCGATTTTTCACCGACGAAATGGCATGTCGGATTTCGGAAGGGAGAATCGGTGGTACAACATATCCATCCTCCTTTATTTCGTATCACGGAAGGTGGACGTGGCTATCGAAGAGATCCGAGTAGTATTCGTGAATGATTTTCTCCATTGCCTTTCTGGACGCTGTAACTGTTCCGTCTGGGCGTCGGATTTTGGTCTTGTAATTGGCGAAGCTTCGGTGGGCTTCGCGAATGCTTTTCCCAGCTTCTGCAGCTTTAACCAACACTGCTGCTCTTCTCTTTAAGATGTTCTTTTACCGCCGGTCTGCATTGTTTTGCAGGTACGGACATTAGTTCGCGGTTGCCTGCAGCTCGATAGCGTATCAGTTCAGTGTTTCTGGAGACAAACAGCTCTTGGGAACTTTCGAACTCTCAGCTTTCATAGCGCTCGTTTAGGTCACCCTTCTAGAACAATAACACGGTTTTGCTGGTCTTCCACTGAGTAGGGACCTTGCATTCAGACAGGTAACGTGTGAAGAGCCGAGCCATTGTGTTTAAGAGGACAGGCGGAAGGTTCTTCAGATGTTCTGGTCTTATCCTATCCGGACCTGGTGCCGTTCGATTTTTCACCGAGGAAATAGCGTGTCGGGTTTCGGAGGGAAGAACCGGTGGTGCAACATATCCATCTTCCTTTATTTCAAATGAGGGAGGGATGACGTGGTTGTTCAAGAGATCTGAATAGTATTCGTGAATGATTTTCTCCATTGCCTTTCTGGACGCTGTAATTGTTCCGTCATGGCGCGGGAATGCAATCATCTTGGTCTTGTAATTGGCGAAACTTCGGTGGGCTTTGCCAATGCTTTTCCCAGCCTCTGCACCTTCGACTATTACTGCTGCACTTCTCTCTTGAAGATCCTCTTTTATCGCCTATCTGCACTGTTTTGCAAGTTCGGAAGCTAGCTCGCGGTTTCCTACAGCCCGTGCGATTCCACATTGGCGTATCAGCTCGAGTATTTCTGGAGACAGACGTGTCTTGGTGACTTTCGAACTCTCAACTTTCATAGCGCTAACGTGAAGATGTTGAATGAGCCGATCGTATTCTTCGTCGATGTTATCGGCAACGGCATATTCGCAGCAGCCCGGTAATGAATTGAATAAGTCTCAGTTTACGGTGGTTCTGGGAAAGGGGTCTAAAATGGCGTTCTTTTCCAGCCTGTGGCCGAATCGGATATTGCAAGGAGAACGCGGTGATCGGACTCAGTGCGTAATCCAGGCAGTGCTGAGGTGCAAAAAGGGAATATTTTCTATTCGTGAGATGAGTCGTACTGTTAGGAGACTCCCATGCCCGCCGACGGTTTTTTTTCTTCTCGAAAAATGAATACCCATGGAAGAGACGTGTTGCGGGCAGCAGTCCTACATGATGGTTCCTATTTCCATTTTGTTTTCATATTTTGAATTTCTCTATCATGCATTCATTTTTGTTGGCCGTTCCTAATCTGGCGTTGAAATCTCCAATAACGAATTCACAGAAGTCCTCGTTACGGATTACTTCCACCTACTGGTTGTAGAACGCTTGCAGTTCACTCTGATCAGTAGAACAAGTTGGTCAGTAGCAGTTGATGATACTGACGTCCTCTTAACGCGAACGTTGAAAACGAAGAATGGCCAAGCGTGGTGATATAACTTGGTATGAGGAGAGGAAATGAGAGATGGACAGCTGTACGACAAAGCCAACGCCTCCGACATCTCGTAACGGAAATTTCCCTACATCCTGTGCAACACGATCTTTGATTCCTTCTCATAGGTTATCTCACCGCCCTACGTAGTAGATGGGAGCACAAGGTATTCGGGATACTGAGACCGGGTATTTGCTGGCTTAGCCATTGTGTTTTCTTGGAGTCCTGCGATCATTCAAGTCGAAGCTTTCTTCTGGTCATCGCCGCCACAGGCAGTCGCCGACCATTGTGGATCAGAGAGAGGTTTGCCACATTGCGACTAGTTTGATACCAAAACGGTGGAGATTCTGGCATTGATTCACTGTCAGATGGGTTTTCCTATGAAAATGTCGAACTCCTCAGTTTTGGATACCCTGCTGGGTGATGAGCACTACCATTGTACATCGCAGCCCGACACCCACGAACAAGTCTCAGCTGCTATGACTCAGTAATCCGTTGTGAAATACTATTAGTACTATTAATTCTTTATTTATTAGTGCTACTTGCTTTAATATGAAATCAAACGCAGATTGTGCTTCAGGAATGTTGCAACCATCGCGCCTACTTTTCTCGTCATCGACTTTCATGTCCGTGGACTTGTAGCTGTTTTGTTAAACTACATTTATTCATAGTGCCTTCTGTAGAACTCCCAAAAACAAAAAACACCTCAAAATTTATTTTATTTATTTGTTTTACTTGACTCGTCTTCAAGTCTGCAGTACGGATCCCAGCACTTGTCACATTCGATTCGTTTCCTCGCATCCATTGTTCAAGAAGATCTTCCAACTTTTACGTTTGGCTTCGGCTGTTGCTTGAGAGTTCCCATTTCATCTTGAATGTCGTAGAATGCTGGTCGAGCAATTTTTCCTGGAGTCATGGGGTAACTGGGCTGGAGCACTCCCAGTTGGATTGCAGAGAGTGATTTTTTTTCCCAGAGAAGTTCGGTAACAATTTCCCGACCACGGAGGGATGAGAGGCCTGGTTGGCTGGGAGCGAAATCGAATTAGGACCATTGTCGTGATGACGGACATCACCACCATTGTGCTGCCCACCTCCTCTTCTTAAAATTTACATTAACTAACAAGAAGGATCTAAAAAATTCACAACAAATCGCATTTTTCTTTGTTCACCTGCCTAATGCAGCAGAAGTTATTTTTTCTTACAATTTTTAGGAATAACTATTTTTTCCATTGTAACTTCCTTATAGGGAAATTAAACCTACCACAATCGTCTCCTCAGGACTGCAAGTTATCCAAAAAATGTGTCCGAGTAAGTCACCTGCACAGGTATCATTGTGTCTGAAAACATTCGAAATAGGTAATACTTCCACGGTTGTTCCTATCTTCAGATAAAAAATATGTATAATTCATATACTCGAAACTAGAGAGAGAAAATGCTCTTTCTTGTTTGTGGTTTGAATGCGGAACCTTAAGAGAAACCACTGAGCTTTTTACACTGGCATCAAGTGGTTGGTCAAGCAATCGCAACATTCATAAAAAGAATACCAGTGGAATCATGCTCTCAAAAAGGAAACTACTGTAGTTATTTCCTAGCAATGTAAAGGATTAAAAAACCATTGTATTTCTTTGATTTCCATATACTTACAGTTACTTTTAAGTATTAATGAACACGGAAAACAGGCTAAAACTAATTGTTCTAATACAAACACAATGCTGCTGAGATATTTGCAAAACTCCGGACCGCAGGTGTCTGCAGTGGGAAACGAAATTACCCTCTCCCGTGGCTAACGCGTTCACCACCACACTATGAGGGTCCTTCGTTTCCCCTGTCGCTCAGCTAGTTCTGTCGATCAGTGCCATCAGATCGATCAGTGATTTCAACTACAGCGCCATCTTAACTGGGTTCACTGCCGATTTGTGCCTCCCAGATCAATCCCGCTGATGGCACTGATCGATAGAACTAGCTCAGAGACAGACGAAACGAAGGATACACATGGTGTAGTGGTGAATGGGTTAGTCTCCGGAAAGGGTAATTGAGCGTTCGTTATCCACCGCAAACACCTGCAGGCCTCAGTTTTGCAAATATCTCAGCATTATCATGGTCGTATTTCGCATTACGTCCTGCCAGTGAAAAATTATACTAGGCGCGAAATAAAAATTTAGCTTTTCACTGATCTTCTTCGACTTTTGTATCTCCTTGACCTATGACTTCTTGACGGACATCTTCTTCGCAGCTCTAAATCTGTTCATTTATCATTTAAGTTCATTTATCACTAAAAAATATTTGCTACGAACAATATACCCATACACGTTTACTGTATTGTCACTGTCAATATATTGGACATATTGTCACTAAGTCGTGATTTACACACTTTGGGTAAGTGTACTTGTACTTTGACCCATCGCTTGACGTTCCTCCAACCCAAGAATCGTTTTCAGAACTGTACATCCAGAAAAGGTCGACGGAGAGCCGATCACTATCCAATGGTTTAAATGTGAACTCGTACGAGTCGTTGACCTGAAACACTTTGTTCACCTCGGATCAGTGCGTTTCTATGGCTGAATTACTGAAAAAAAAACATTGATGTGAAAGGACAGACCCGTCCGAGTATTCTGGTGAGGCGAAATTTTGTTCCGTTGTTTTGGAGATTCGTGAGAAGATCCGGATTGTGTTCCTCGATCAGAGCAGCGAAGTCGACATCTGTTGTGTGAGGAATGATGTCACATTCACGATACCAGCCTTAAGCGAACATATCAAGCCAAGGTGCGTAGAAACCTGAATTAGCTTTGAGAAGAAGAGTTGTTTAGGTGGTCTGGCCTATAAAATTCATTTGCCTCAGATACAGTTATTGTGTTCTCACGAACTGTGTTTGATGAGCAGACAGGAAGTGGTGAACATGCCATTAAGTTAGCAGCGTCTTGGCGACATATTGACAAGTTGTCTTTTTCAGACGCTAGAGTGAGACGTGTTTATTGATATTATTATTGTTGCTATTATCACAACATCATTGTTACTTTTGCTACTATTGCCACTACCACGAACATTGGTACACAGCCTTATACGGTGAACAGTTCAGAATTGAGCTTACAGAACTGTTTCCGAATAAAGGATAAAGAAGAAAACGTTCGCGGTTGATCAAGCCCTTGATGGATGCGCCATGAATTCGACTGCATCAAGCATAGTTAGAGACGAAAGAGTGATTATCCGGCCTATACACCTACGGTGGCCTACCGGTGTATGGTATCAGTGCTGCTTCCTTCCCAAACAAATTTGGTACCAATTTGCCGACAGCGGACAGATGAGAAGATTGGTGGGAGTAGGGTGCGGAATCGAACCAACGACCATGTGTGTTTTGCAGTACACCTCTAACCTGTGCTCTTCGCACGCTCCTTCAAAAAATATGTAATACAGCGTCCCATTCCAGTCTTTGAAGAAGGTGACATCGTTAACACATCGCTGAAAAGCCGGTCATAGAGAACTAAACAACCTGGTCACGACCTCATCAAACACAATTCGGCAGGAGACAAGAAATTGTTAGCAGCAGCCATGTTTTTTTTTCAGCATGTTCGTTACTGTTCATACAGGCTAAATTTAATCCTTCCAGTTTTCTCAAATAATCTCTGTTTGAGTGCAAAGCCGCTGTTATTGCCAGATGCACAACAATTTAATGATCGGAAATAATATCAGTAGTCGCAGATTTGAAAAGTACCGGAAAGATTAAGCGTAGAATTAGAAATGATCAAGCTGTTCCACTGGAAAATCGACAAAATCCGATGAATTGTTTTAATGGTGCATCGTGACAGAACACCAGTGGAAGACACTTAACATTTTCAATCATTCGAACGTTAAGTCATACCTAGTAAAGTGCCGCCATTGAGGAATGGGTATATGTCGAAGTTCGTGATATAAGACATCAGTGAGGACATTGCCTTTAGCGTCTTCTCTATCGGAAGAATACGACTTTGAATGTTTCGATCGACCTTCATGCCTCGACATTTCACCAGTTTGGAACGCTTCCAGAACTCGAGAAAGTGCTTTGTATCCGACGGAATTGAGAGATTTCCGTGGACCCAAATCGGAATCCTGAACTATTCACTCAGTTGACTCTGACAACATAAATCCAACTGTTCTCATATGCTTGTAGTTTGAGCGTTTCTATATTTAACGGCGACCAAATCACACTGAACGCAGTTTAAAAAAATGGGAAACAGACAGAATGACCTTAATAATCTATCGTCCAGTTTGCAGAAATCTTCCGAAAGGTCGATAAAAATATTTTTGACCAGCTATTCGAAGTATTAAACGAAATGGACCTCCACTGAAAGCAGAAATCCTATTCAAGGCTAGTTTTTGTACCTAAGATCCGGTAGAGAGAGTAATGGCTAAATTACGACGTTATCCGCTGCGCATGCACTGCACAATCTCATGAGAAATCTTTGATTCGAAGCTGCTATGCTTCATAGGAAACCATGCCCTTCTAATTCAAGTGAAACAACATGATATTTACAAAACATCACAAGGCGAATTTCAATTTATCTTACTGAAATTCAACAGGTTTTCAGAAGATGGCTTAGAGACTCATAAAAAATAGGCAATTGGTATTACACTGTTTACCTTGGAATGATTCTCGTTGGTGAACTGTTGAACCGGAGGTAATCTTTGTCCGTCAAATTTTGGTAGTAGACAATCTCATAATCGGAATAGTTCTTTTTTCCAACCGAAGGAAACAGCTCCATATCTACTCCCAGTCGGATCTGGGTGGGTGTCGTTCCACAGTCAGTTCTACTCAGACGTTCAATTATTCTCTCGTCAATAAGAAGCGCTTGGAACGGAGGGTCGACGCGTGCCAGCACATCCGAGCAGTTCTTCTACAAATAACATTTCTTAAACTCATAACTTTTAAACTTTCTTTAAGAAAATATGTGGAAAACGTTCAAAATTAGTAAGAAAGCAGAATTTGTTCTAAGGTCGGATGAAAATTACGAAATCATGCCTGTGTAGGTTAGCTGCCACTGCCCAGTTATGGCCGCCTACAGTCCAGTTGGTGTCGCCTAGTAAAAGGCATGATATTTCTTAACAATTTCGTCTTGCAGTCGATTTTATCGTTTGTTTTCATCTATTGACCAACTTCACAAGTTTTCGAGGGCCTTTTCTTCATCATATATTCGAGATAAAGCTCTCGGTGTTGATCAATCCCCGAGGGATGCGCCATGCATTCTTCATTAAGCATCGCTTGGAGGTGATTGAATGCATACCTGGCCTTTACAATGACTCGTGGTGGTCTGCCGATCTATCGAGAGAATGCTGCTATCTTCCCAGACAAGTCTGGTATCAATTTGCCGCCCCGGATGGATGGAGGGCTTGGTAGGCCATGGATGAGGGGATCGATTCCACGTGTGTGTTGCAGGGCGCCCCTACCACTGCACCACACGCGCCCTTTAGGAAGCATTGAAGAGACAAGTAATGGAATGAGATGTGAAAGGTCTAAAACGATGCAATAGGACGGACGCGATACGAAAAAAAATCCTAACTATAATAGATACTTTCAAGTGATAGAAGTTAGTCGACGTGAACTTTAACCAATTTGCACGGTCTCTAACCTGGCCACCACAGTCAACACGAAATTTTGCGTACAGAACGTTTTAGACCACAAATATTTTTTGATCACACGCCCCGTGACTTTTGTTGTAATTCTCGCTCTATAGTTCCGTTTCCTTGTTGTGTACCTCGTTGATAACTTTCCTGTCTTCTTCTCCCTCAGTAAAGGTGGAGAAAGCTTCGTTAACTATTTAATTAGATAACTTGCGGCCTTTGGCAGTTGTTTTCACAACATAGATACAGCATATTTTGGTAATTTTATATAATCTCTACACACGTTGTATGTAACAATTGTCTCCCATTATAACGATTGTGAAAGAAAAAAATCATTGCTGTAAAAACAGAATTACATCCCTAAATCATGTCGGAAGAAGACGATTTGAGAATAATCGTCGATTTGCTGGCCATCGAAAATCAGCAAGAAGACAATAGATTTTGACGCTGAAGAGAGTCTAGTGCGTTCCAACGAGGAGTGTGAAGAAATTTGATGAAGACTGAGGTCTGATATGGGACCAGGAGCAAGTGTCCAAGGAATACGGTGCCTAATAGCCCCTGGGGCTTGAGTGGCAGTTAAGTTAGTGCTGACCGAGAATTCAATGACTGCCCAGAATCTGCACGTTTTAATGAATTATCCTTGAAAAATAAGACCTCTAATGAACACCACATGAGACGGCCAACAGCGGAAATGGCCAGCTGGTGACGAGACGAAGAGATTCGTCGTCCTTTTAAATCAGACGTTACTTAGTTATACTGAGATGACTGAGGAATTATTGAAGTACCAGCCACGATAACAGGAAATTATCACCAGGTTTTTCGAAAGTGCCTGCAACATCAGCGGTTTACCCGCCTATACAGCCAACAGTGCGCAGATTTCTCATCAGCCAAGGGACCATTCCCTAGAAGGACACATTTGATCGGCGTGTGCAGAGTGAATAGGTAAGGATAATCTGATTTCCCTAAAAAAAGTGAAGATAGGACACGTGGTCGTCGCTCCGATCTCGCGACCTAAGCTGACATGGTCTTCCATACTTCCCGAATCAGAGTTGGCACCAGATTTGCCCAGGAGAATAAAAACTAACCTGATGCATCGGTAGGTGACCAGAAGTCATTGTACAGGCCAGGCTTTGTTCAATTATCTCTAAGATGCTGTGAATGGAGTCGAGTGCACTCATTCAGGGATTATTCAGCGCAGAATGTTTTGTCATTTTATCCTATATCATCTATTCTTCCAATTAATCACCCAGGAATGCGTGGTAAACGCGTCAGAGATTTTTTAGTATAGTGGGATTGTGCCGAAGCTATCAGTGAACTGTGCTTGAGATTTATTAAAATTGTTAGCTTTTCTTAGAGCTCATGTATTCATATTTTTCAGAAAGAACGATAGTGTCGAAGCAATGAAGTGTTCTGTTGGCTGCTATAAGAAAAAGATAGTAAAACTTCACCTTGCGACATCTACTGCAGTGCGTGCCGTGCGGGTCAACACCTAGTATACCTAATTCAAATAAAAAACAATTTTGCTTAGCGGTTAGGTGTGATCATATATGAAATAGTGTACCAAACAAGGTATGAATGGTAGAGGTTAAGAGCGTAAATTCTACGTAGAAAGTTTAGACCGTGAAAGTCATGGATGCCAGCGATCGCATGCATCATGGAAATAGCATCCATTGTAGTGATTGTATGATTCAAGATGGTTTTTCTAAACATGGTATTTATAACAAGCACCCTCTATGCTTTACAGGCTTAAGCCTTTATACACAGGTTTTGGTGAGAGTTTTTACTGTGTTGTCACTTTTTATTCACTGCCTATTCTTTTCATCGCAGGGTGTTTGTGAAATATAACCATAACGATGCTGAGATATTTGCAAAACTCCGGATAGTTTATGTCTGCGGTGGGGACCGAACACGCTACTACCCTTTCAGGAGGCCTACGCGTTCACCACCACACCATGCGAATCCTTTCTCTCAGCCGTGTTATTATTGCTATTTGAGGCTACATTTGAGACTAAGAAATTTTTATATTTGCAACAGCGTCTATACGAATTTTCAAATACTTTAGCAACTTTGATGTTGCTAAGTCTCCCAACGCTTTACCGCCTCATTGTGACTGGGAGGTGTTCCTGGGTATCGGTACAGCGGGGAGATTCATCCCCCTTGCAGAGTCTCCCAAGCTGAGGAGTCTGGCGTTTCCATCAGGAAAGCCTAGCTAAAAGTAAGCCAGTACCAGAATCCACAACTGTTCAGGTATCAAATTCGCATGGTGTCAAATCTCTCTCTCATCCACAAAGGCTGCGACTGCCTTTGGTGGTGAAGACCTGAGGCAGACCTTGGCCAGGTTGACCTCGGGATTCCAGAGAACCACAATGGGTTAACCAGAAAAATAAAAATTCGTCAAAAAAAACCTTTTTATAAGTTATTAAATGCAGAGAATGAGGTCCATATGATCATATTTGGTAGAACAACATCTCTGTGTACAAGTGACTGCCAACTGAATACAAAAAATGTAGCAAAATACACTGCGCCACTAATGCGTAGTTGCAAAGGAAATGAATTATATGCGATTTAAAAGCCGCGGATATGTGGCCGCACTCTATTAAATATCTGGTCATGAACTGTCTAATAGAGAACAAAAAGCAGTGGAGAACTTCTAATGATGTCGAACAATGCAATTCGTATTAACTGTTTTACAAGCCGCTCTCTTGAGACATAAGACCACCAGGCATCCATTATCAAAGCAACGAGATAAAAAAGGATAAAGCTCTCGACGTTGATCAAACCCTGGAGGATGCGCCGTGCATTCGCCTTCATCAAGCATCGTTATGGGTGATTGAATGCATGTCTGCCCTAAACAATGACTTGCTGTGCCCTGCTAATGCATCGGGTTAGTGTTGCTATCCTCCCAACAAGGCTGGTGTCATGCCGACCCTAGAGGGATGGAGGCTTGGTGGGGCTGAGAAACAAGGATCAATCCCACGTGTTTTGCAGTGCGCCTTCGACCACTGTGCTACACGCGCCCTCACCTGCAAGAGACAAAGAAATAGAAGACATAGTTCTCGTTCGCAGATTTTGTGCGAGGGAACGTTGTAGGAACAATATGGAATTTGATGACTGCTTCTTTCGTAACAAGAGAAGAAAGTCGACAAGTTGTTTACGATTTTGGTCATCTTGCATGTACATATATTCAATATTGCAAATAACAACACAATGAGCACTCAAATAGAACAAAATCAAGTGCTGTTCAAAGAACTCCTAAGCTTTTGCTTAGCATTGCTCCTCTTGGAGCCATTATGAAAAAAACATTCTAGACCTTCCGAAATTTCATCACTCACTGGGATTCTGTGATTCAGCGTCGTCAATGGTCGGCCTGACGAAGGCAGGGAAGAACTTCTCAAAACAAAATCAGCAAACTAAGGGGTATTATTCGCGTCCTAGTCTTCCTTACATTCACTATCAGATATGTGTATGCCAAGTGGGAGAACGATTCTTCCATCATTTAGTTGGACAAAGATAAGATACTTCGCAGGGGACCAGCAGTAGGCCGTGGTTTCGGTGGTAGTTGCTGGCTCAATCGTCTGCTGTTTGTGGTGTAAAAACTGTTCGTTCGTGTACTATTGTCAAGAATTACTGACATCCGGAATGTACTAAAGTCATGTGAACCTCAACAACATCATTACAAACGTGCAGTGCTGTGAAAGTATAGGATGCTCCTTGCTGTAACAGTTAGCAATTCTAAGAAGTTGGAGCGGAAGCTCCTATTGTGCCATTTTACATTCATCTTCTTAGACTTCATTTCAGGATCCACCGCTCCTATTTGTATTTTATTCTTAAGAGATATGTGTTATTTAGAGCCAAAAACCGCACCACCACTTATCTTGATTTCCTCATGAGCGTTCGCGACTACCATAAACTTATAGCACTTCAGAAACATAAGTATGCCTTAAGCAGGTTGAAAATTCAAAATATTTATTGGTACCAGTTCAGTTTTTTTTCTCGTTGGAAACTTCTATACCACTTGGCTAAACTGTTGTCTTAAATGTGAGAGATGTTAAAAGCAGTTCCTTCCATGACATCGAAAGCAGGAAGAAATCCTGCGATAGCGTGCTTTTGACTGCTCATGAGATCGTGAAGCGGAACAAAGTTGTTGAAGTAAGATCACTCAATACTAACCTTTTATTTGCAGCTGAATAGAGTTTTTCACGGTAGAGTATGATGTTAAATACAACCACACTGTTGCTGAGATATCCGTAACGCTTGAACACTAGGCAAGATCGAACTACGATTACCCTTTCCGGGGGTTCGCGTATTACGCACTGCATTACTAAGGCCCTTGCTTTGCGTTTCTCTCGGCTAGTTTTCTACCTAACGCTGCCATCAGCAATCATACGTCAGCGAATTGCGAATATCTCAGCATCATTGTGGTTCTAAGATCATTGTTTTCTAAAAAAAAAAAAATGAAAGTAAACGTTGTGAATCTTTAAAGAAACTGGTGACGTCATTTACTCCGTTCTAAGTTTACTAACGTATTTTTGTTGCTATACTTCAAAAGCTCAAAACGTTTGTTTCACGAGGTGTGCCGGTGTTTCGTAATTTTCAACCCAATGTTTGCCGAATAGAAAAGTCATTTGTTTAATCTCCCATCGTGTCTTCCGCACAAAGAGTTCTAATAAAAGCGCACCATCATTTTCGGTAAGCCGTCATCCATCATCATTGTCTTATTTTCGATATCATAATACTTAAAAAGGAATACGAACAGAGCAGAAGTTGAGCACGAAAGCAGAGCAATCAGACGAAGTGGCCGCATGCTTTACAAAGGAAGCAGTAGAACGTCCAGATAATCTAGTGCTCACCTTCCAAATACGCCCATAATTCTGCACTTCAATTATGCAATGAATATAGAGCGATAAACAACCGGAATCGGTGGCAATCAGAACATGTGACGTCGAAAGGCGCATAGAAGCGGCAGGAATAATCCTCCTCCATTGGAGCACTCGCTATTTTGCTTGTTCCCGCAACGGCTAACCGTCTCACTCTTGGTCACTTCGATGGTTTTCCACTTTATTATATCTTACGAGCCAAGTGTTAGTGTACAAGTACAACAGAGACACTTCTGTACCTTTTCAACTGTGACAATATTTATGGTGGTCACACTCCTTATTGGTAATGGTCCCTCGCCCACTAAATAAAACGATTTAAAAGAAGTTTTGTAAATTAGTAATCATGCAGATCAGCTTTCCAGAAATGATATAGAGCACAATGATCACGATAGGATGAGCTATCGATTGATTACGAAAAATAGAACAAAAATCTTTATACGTCAGAAAGATTCCCGCAAAAAAAGAGCGGATATCAACTCAGACCGATTACTACACTGATCCACATATATAGGTGGAAACCCACTCACGTCGATCTCTCAGTGTTACCTAGAGAGATAGCTCTGACGGATTGACGGACTGACGGACCGGCAGACTTGGTTTACTGAACAATATGATCAAATGCTTCAGAGACCATCCTCCTCCTTCTACTGCAGCTCATGTCTTTCGTAACGCTCTCCTCTTTTAATGGTTCATACAAGCCAAAGCCATTTCTTCATGGGAGAGGAATACCTTGCTTATTTGCAACACGCATCTCATGCTATGGGAAGCTAACAACGCATAGCACCCTAAGTTTCAAGTTTTAGTTTGTACCCTCCGAACATCCAAGCCAGTCGTACAGCTATTGATAATACGCGTTCACGGGCACTACTTACAAATCGCTTCTATGAATGCTTCACATTTCGTTCCTTTGTGTTGTCCACAATCCTTCTGCACGTTAGGAAATCTCGTAAAGTCGTTCCTGGCAATTAGCTTCTGCAACTGCAACCTCCCAACAGTTTACTTCGTCGTGGCTAAGAGGTGTTTCTGGGTATCGGGCTACGATATAGAGCGAGAGTAGATCCGCCGAGCAAGGTCTCCAAAGCTGAGAAGGAGCTTGACGTTTCTATCTGTAAGCCCAGCTAAGAATACTCCAATGCAGGAATCACCATTCTCCTGGTTCCAAACTGGTCGCATAGTGGTAAATCTCTCTCTGATCTACAAGGATCGCGACTGCCTGGGGTTGGGACGACCTCGGCAGACTTTTGCTAGGGTGACCACGGGATTCCAAGGAACCACAGTGGCTAAACCAGCAAAATTTCGAAACAACAGAAATTCTGCTGTGGCGCGGACAACCAGTAAAGGCAGGCCACCCAATTCTCCTAGTAACTTCGGCTAGGCTGACCTCGCAGGAGTTGCAGAAAACCACAGTGGTTAAACCACCAAGTCTTCGGAAAATGGAAATCGTGCTGGATGCTGCACAACTAGTGAAGGCGGGCCATCTAAGTATCCAACTATCCAACTGAGTGCTCAATCACCATCGTGGATGACGGTTCCAAGAGAATTAAATAAATAGAGGTACTGGAACCGTCACAATGTGCGAGCATTGGTCACTTAATTATCCTAATATATAATATATAAGATTGGAAGTGAAAGCTCATATTTTTCTGGTCTCATAACTTTTGGTTAATTACCTGTATTAAAATACTTCGAAAAGAGCAGAAATATGAAGGCGCTTCGAAAATGTGTATATCTTTCGTACCATAGAAAGACCAGCTTATCTTGACGAGAAATACAATTTTTTTAGTACTTTACAGGAACTAACGAAACTAATTCATTACTACAATTTAGAACTCGCTGCCTTCTTGACAAGGTCATCTATGAAATTTTTAGTCGCCCTCAGTTCTTCGGAAGAAAGCAAGTTTAGATATCACTTTGTGGTCTGTGACATTTTCCTGGCAAGACTGATCTAGACAAACGTTTGAGCCTTCTCTGTAACAAACTCATATATCCATATTTCTCACACACAAGCCTATTTAATGGTGTCCTCAAAGACCCGCAATGAATTTGTCTATGAAGACGGAACTGTCACATGATGTAAATAAGAGATAAAAACACCGGAACATATTATTGCTGGAGACCAATTGATAATCAGGACACCAACGTATTTGCGGAATATGCCCGCCGATCAGTCACGAGTCCTGAAAATCATGACCTGACCCGAAGTGAGAAGGAAGGCACTTCATAAACCGGTTTCCACTTCAATTGTTCACATAATATAGGAGCTACTTGCTTGAATCAGCCACGATTTGGGACACGAATGCATCAATAACGGACTTTCTCCATGACAGCAATTACAAACTGATGTCGGCGTGATCAAAGTCATAAATAAGGTTCTTCAAGGGATTACAGGATGGCAGTAAAATGAGCAAAATGATTGGAGACAGATAGGTGTTTTGAAGTGACTTCAGCTATAAGCCATAAAGTAAAACACAAAGTTTTCATGTTTAGGCAAATACGTCGACGAAAAAATAACTAGTTATTTGCATACCCAGACGGTCCGCCCTCACGAGTCGTGCGGATCCCAGCACACTTGTCATTCGTTTCTTTCCCTTGCAATCGTCGTCCACGGTGTTGGTTTTATTAAAGCATGGCGGCGTGTCCGAGTCTCATAGCGTGATCTGTAAAATAACTGCGGTTGCAAGTACAGCTGATTAACTTCGGTTACGAGCTTGCCCATCCAACGTGTAAGTGGTTGTCTTAGGGGATGTTCACATTCTTGTGAAGTCCAGCTGTCGTCTGCTCCTCCCACTATATGACTGGTCTGACCGGTCCATCTGTGCTTCTCTATCGATGTATATTCTCTTGGGTCCCGAAGATGGGACAGATTTCGAAGACCAGAACTTCGCAGCCCAGCTAAATATCGAGAGTGCCGGTTATATTTCAAAAGGCATCGTTCAAGCACTCTGTGAGTAGTTCAGGGTATTCTTGACGTGGTTGAACTTATCAGCCCACGTTTTTGCAGGATATAGAGCGCTGGGTGAACCATTGAATCGCAAAACTGAGCACGGGTTTTTGGGTCCGTCCGTTGGCCGATGGCATCTTTGCGAGGCCAGAATGCGGCGAAAGCTGCTCTCTTTCTCCTGTCTAATTCCTCCTTCATGATTTTTTCAATGTTTATTGATCGCCTAAGGTGTACGTATCTCTAAAATAAGAGAATCATCCAGTTGTATTTGTTCACCTTCGCGCCATGGGTTTTTCATGAACTCGATCTTCTTCCGATTTATGCATAGTTCGATCTTTTTTACCGCTTCGTTGACCTCACTGATCACCGTTTCTACTTCGCTGGTACTTCGGAAATAACAACGATTTACGAAGACACTATGTTATTTTCGATGATGCTGAGATATTTGCAAAACTCCGGATCGCAGGTGTCTGCGGTGGAGAACGAACGCGCTATTGTCCTTTCCGAGGAGTAACGCGTTCACCACCATACCATGCGGGTCCTTCGTTTCGCCTGTGTCTCAGCTAGTTCTATCGATAAGTGCCATCAGCAATGACCTATCAGCGGAATTGATCTGGAGAGTCCAAATCGGCAATGAACCCAGTTAAGCTGAAGCTTTAGGTATAATCACAGTTTTACCTATTGTTATTATTATTACCAGTATTATTGTTGTTATTATTATTACTAGTATTACTGTTGTTATTATTAAGTATTATTATTATTATTAGTATTATTTGAATTAGTGTTGGGGCGTGTAGCGCAGTGGTTAGAGGTCGCCTGCAATACACGTGGGATCTATCCCGCGCTCCAAGCTCATCAAGCCTTCCGTCCCTCCGGGGTCCGCAAATTGCTGCCAAACCTGTCTGGGAGTATAGTAGCGCCACTCTAAAGCGTTCCCAGTTGCACTGCAGGATGAGCTTTCTTAGACAAGTTTGGTAATAGTTTCACGACCTTGAGGCGATGGTAATTTTGGTGAACCAGGTGCGGGATTGAACCTATGATGCACTTAGCGATCGGCGTCACTACCACTGCGTTGCCGGTCCCTGCAACGTAAGATAAGAGCAGAAGGCTTGGAAACGAACGATGTATTCTGTGAATGGAAGTGCAGAGTGAAAAAAAAAAATTACTGGAAAATTATAGCAAATATTACTATTAACTAACATATTTTCTCAGACGTCATGAATGAAATATGTCAGGTATTTTCGAGCAAAACGATGCAGAAAAGATCGCAATAGTCCTATTGAAGTTCCCATGGTAATAGCGAAATGAATAAATCTCAACAGAATTTTCTACATGAACAAGGGTCAAACTATTCCGAAAGAACACTTACTTCAAGACGCGGCTACGTAGGAGACTCAAGTTCAAATCGGAAACTCCTGTCTGATGATGAATTCCCGAGGAATGCTATTTGGTGGGAAATTGAATCTAATCCTAATCGAAATTTAATCCCAGAGGGATGCGCCATGGATTCTTCGTTAAGCATCGTTTGGAGGTGATTGAATGCATACCTGTCCTTTACAATGACTTGCAGTGGTCTACCGATGTATCGAGCCAGTGCTGCTACCTTCCCAAGCAAATCTGATACTAATTTGTCGACCCCGGAGAGATGGAAGGCTTGGTGGGCCATCGGCGCGGGGATCGATTCCAGGTATGCGTTGCAAGGCCCCTCCAACCATTAGGCCACATGAGTCTCTCTTAATTAAAACGGTAGTATTGTGAACCAAAAATCTCCTCAGATCATTATATTAATAGACTGCCTATAGAGAGAATTAGAGTAGACAACAAGTTTAATCTTAACCGTTTTATTTACTGCCTACTCTTTTTAATGGCAGGGTATATTGCGAAATACAACTCCAACGATTCTGAGATATCTGCAAAACTCCGGGTTAGAATTATATTTATTAGCAAATCATCAGTCTCATCATTAGACGTCTAACATATTACAAAGCCGAAAAAAAATGAAAATGCATTATGTTTTTTCGAAAAGGAGAATGATGCATGTGAAGGGGAACACAATAGTCCCATTAATGTTTCTTAATAATTCATGGTTAATTTTTTTTGTTTTTGGTGTCGAAGCATGATATATGGAATGATGAGGGCGATCCTCACGGTGATGCTAAAAGAAATAAACTTGAGCCGGTTTTCCTACTTGTACAGGGGTCAAACCATTTCGGGAGAGCACTTACTTCAAGACGGGGCTACGTTACTTTGGTCGATACTCCAATTATTGACTTCATAGGTTTTTCCTAATAGACATATAAACGATCGAAAATGTAACCCAAAATCAGGACATAAGCTTCTGATTGATAACGATTCGCAAAAATTGTGATCTTGAAAAGAGCTGTGGGATATTCAATAGTGCATTTTCACTCCCAGCTTGGAAGCGTTACCATTAAGGATTTTGCGATAAATAATTGTAATTGTAATACGCAGTAAATAAAAGGTTAACGTTGTGATTTCGACTATAACCTCAGCTTAACTTAACTCATTGCCGATTTGGGCTCCCCAGATAAATCCTGTTGACGAGTGGTTGCTGATGGCAGTGATCGATAGAACTAGCTGAGAGACAGGCGAAACGAAGAACCCGCATGGTATGGTGGTGAGCGCGTTAATCCCCGGAAAAGATAATATCGCGTCCGCACCGCAGACACCTGCGGTCCGGAGTTTTGCAAATATCTCAGCATCACTGAAGTAGACAATAGGCTTGAAACCAGCATTTGCAAGCTTACGGTATCTGAGAAGTCGCTCAGTGGAATTCCCAACATCGTTCCTCGTTCGGTTCCATTCTCTCGCCTAGGGGTCACGTTTCTTTCCACTGATTGACCTTAGACATTCGCTGTTGATCACACGCTAGGTCAACGTCTTCGTACTCAAATGGTTTTACAGACTCTAAATGTAAATCTACAATCTGTGATGATCTTCTGAGGCTGATGAAGGTGGTCTCCGTCAACTCTTCTGGCAGACTTTTTTCGAAGCTTCTTTTTACGAAGAAACGAGAGAACAACGAAGACCACAAACAACAGCTCAAAGCTGAATAGTTAGTTTATGAGCATTTTAAACAATGAATATGAGATGTTCAAAGAGAATGAAAATGAGCAGCTCATAAAAAGGCCACTTTTAAATGGAAAGTATTCGAATCCAGTGAGTTCGAAAATACAGTTTTTATTCCGTATGAAAAATGAACAAATTTGACACAGATCACTTGAAAAAATCAAAGGAGGTCCAGCTCTCCTCCATAAAAGGTGGCGATTTCTATGAATTTCTGGGTTTCGTCACATCGATCGTCGAATTTTGGACCCAGCTCATGTCCAGCGTTCGACGTTGTCCCTGGCGTACCTTCTGGTAGCTTTAACCCCTGATTCTGGGTGAGCTACCTTTCAGACATATTGGTTTTACAATTGATTCATATTGATTTCTTAGTTCCATAAAGACCATCTCTACAATTTCAGGTCAGTGTGACGCATCTATTGATATTATCTACAGTTTATGCAACTAAAAGACAGCAGCAACCTGCGAATTCAAAACCGAGGAATGCAACGATACACTCTCTTCACATGGAGATTTTGCGACAGCTACCGACAAAAAGCCCGGATGGGAACTGCACTCGATGCGAGTTACCGCACGGATTCTTCGTCGATTTCGGTATGCCAGTAGAATTTAAAATTTTTAGCTCGCATCTGGGCAGTTTTGTTCTGCTGCTGAATTTTTTCTAGGCTGAACAAGAACACTCATCACATCAGAATTTGCTGAAACTTCTGCCTCTAGTCCATTGCAACTCGATTACAACCACTCCATATGTTTGCATTTTATTAATGTCCTTATGCGGCAAAGCACTGAGTACTTCAGTGATCCGTCAGAGGATGCCATTGGAAAAGCGTACCGTTTTGAGCGAATAACTGTTGTCTCAAGTACCGCAGGTATCACCGCGGGTATCGCTCGCTCTCTATCAACCAAATTGTGGACTGGTGTCACTGCAATCAACCCCACTGCATGTTGAACCTGTCTGTGATCAACCGAATCGTTTTCCAATAGCCAACCAAGCGGCCCCATACTGTGCCAGACGTTTCCATGATTAACCTAAGCACGGACTAATATCTCCACATCATGTCCAGTTTGGTCATGATCAACTGAATCTCCACGAATTAGCTAACCAAGCAGCTCAACATGATATCAAGTCTTCCTATGATCGTCCAAAGCGAAAAACAACGTCGCCACAGTTGGACCTCCATGGTATGTCAAACGTTGCTATTAGGTAACGACGAAACCCCTAGCTGATTGACAAACGGGTCCACAACGGCTTAAGCGTGCGAACGACCTAGAGACCAAGATTTTCGCGAAACTTTGTCCGATCACCAAATCTCCCATTGAGCCCATTGCGACCAACTAAATAAATGCCTTACCCAATACCTCACTCTCTTTGTAAGCCTATTTAACTCCCAGATTTTCTGACGGAAGTAAAAAACGCTCTTGGGTACTCCTAAATCAAATATTATGCTTCGTATTTCAACTATGACCCATCTCTTTTATTACTATGACCAGACATCCCATGAGGCAGCAAGATCTACGGCGGTGCAACCAGTCAAAAGTGGGGACACAAATTTTGTTTCAAACGCGGCCATTTTTCTTTTCTTTCATGGAATTTGTTGTGTGCGAATATCTAACGATCTCACCGTGTACAGAAAATATAGGTTTTGTATTCTAATCCCTTGTTGGTATAAATAATCCTTTCTAATGTTTACTTTTATTTGCCTACAACAAGTTCTCACGGCAAGATATTATGCGAAATGCAACCACAACGATGCTAAGATATTTGCGAAACTCCAGGACTGCAGGTGTCTGCGGTGGGGAACGAACACGCTGTTACCCTCTCCAGGACTAACGCGTTCACCACGAAACCACGCCGGTCCTTCGTTTCGCCTGTCTCTCAGCTAATTTTCTATCGATTAGTGCCATCAGAAATCATCCGTCATCGTAATCCTTTTTATTCATATGGCAAAACAATAAAAAAGGCGAAAACAAAAGCGAAAAAACCTGAAGATCTCTTTTAAAAAAAACGTAAGCTATCGACAGAGTAGTTGTATTCGAGAGTTCATAATTCATAATAGTCATAATAGAACAGCCGATAGTAGAAGTGAGAGCCCTCGTTTGAAAAGTTTATGTACTATGTACACTGCCACTGAGATCAATTTAAGAGTACTGAAGCCTAACATAATGTAACAATATAAAATATAAAAAATATGACATAGTATGGTAGGCATGAACTGGAAACATCAAAATAAAGAGGGCGCTCACAAGGGTTTACGGCCAGAGTCCCTCGTTCCAATGCTTGCAGATCTTAACTATAACGGAAAAGAGTGAAGCTAATGGTGAACTTATGCTGAGGTTGCTAAGATGCCCACTTATGAAATACTTATTTACAACATCATAATGACACGAACTCACTGAGGATAAGAATCATGTGTATGGCGCTTTTTGTCTACCAATGCTGAAAATAATGTATGTCGTTAACATTCGGAAACACCTTCTTAAAGACGTTTTCGTAGGTGATCAGAGAATTGAAGATGTTTGGCTTGTCGACAACTTCTCCTAATTCCAAATGGTCGATATGTCGTACCTGAAGTGGATATTATATACATGACAAGAGTATCTTCTAGCTAGCAATAATGTTCTTAGTGGTTGTATAGTTTTTGCCCAGAATCCCAGTTGAGAGTTTACGCTCCCTTTAGAATAGTCTTTCCAGTGGTCTAACTAATTATGTTACTTATTCCTCATTCTTGTAACAGTTAGGACAAACTGATAACTGAAATATGAAACCAAACCTTTCCAATCATATAATCTGGCTGAGGAGGAATATATGGTCCTCGCATCATTGTCAGACGAAGACTGTTCACTTGGCATTGGTCTAGGAAGCTCTGTAAACATGTGAGTGTTGTGACGACAAGGTGAGTTTTAAGTGCTTCCTTTAATTATCTAACTAAGCATCGACAACCTAAGCTCGAAACAATGGACAGAATAAGTTGAAAATGTGCAATTTAGAAGTAAGGAAATCTTCGACAAGGTCGGACTCTTGTTTTGAAATTTCAGAACTTCCGGGAGACATTACTACTTTCTACTTCATTTAGTTCATAAAATAAGGGAAAAAAGTTATTTACACAGATGAAAAACAAAAAAAGAAAACGTAAAAAAGACATCATGGAAGAAATCATAGAAATAACGTAGCGAATTCTAACATAAAAATGATACGTTCTATCTAGTGCACTTCACTAAAGGATTCACTTCGAACAATCGGCCCATAAACAATTCTTTCATCGTCTTAGAAAAACTAGAAGAACCACAAGTTATCGCTAAATATTTCTGGAAATTAGTTCCAGGACTGGCTGTCACTTCTTTGTTTGGCGACCGCTCGACATTTTGTCGCAGGGCGAGGTGTGCACCAGTAAAATCGTTCGAGAAAAGCTGTCTATATAAATTGAGTATAGGGAGTAGCCCTCGATGGATTACGTTTGGCACAAAATTTGTGTCAGAGAGGTTGCCCATTGAAAAGAAAAGTAGAAAAAAAGCCCTTGGAAAAAAATAAGGCCTGAGAGGACGTGAATTGTATTCAATGCATATCGTCGCCTATGTTATACAAAGTTAAAGGACTCCAAGACAACCTATTATACCACATTCATTCCTATCTTGTCCAAGTACGCTCTTCACCTGCACTATGTCACTGGTTGGATCGAGGCCGATGAAGCCAGTGTAGGACAAGTGCTGGAACGTGGCGCCGCTAGTGGCGATCTTGAGCAAGTGGTCGTCGATCGTGCTCTGGGAAACCTCAAAGCCCAAATCGAACATCATCAACGACAAGCGCTCCAGATGCACCTGAAATCAAAACGATGACGTGAAAAGTGTAATTTTTCACGTAGACTTCTATTGCCTCTTTTTAAAAATAAACAGCAGTGGTGTCTCACTGAACTTTTGAAAAACTGAACATTTTCTGAGAATACACGACTAGAAGAAGACGGTCCCGGGATGACAACTACAAAGACCAGACACTGATATGAGTAGAATGAACAATTTCAACTAAAATAGAACTCTACACTTTATTGCGAAGGCCAATAATCTTAGTGGTCTAAAGAAGTAAAAATTAACAAAAATGATTTCTATTAGAAATAACTTGCTTGGAGAAAAACAGCGGTTTCTTCTCCAGCTTAGAATATCGCGTTAATTCCTGCAAGTATAAAAGAATCCTTCACTAGATGCTGTTTGAAATTGAATAGCTCAAAAATCTGTTCTGGGTATATGAAATTATCATTCTATCAACAATGTTCGATGAGACTTTTATTATTGAGAATAAAACGTCCAGCAGACATCAACGCACCGACGAATTCAGCACCAGTGCTTCAGTGAGCCCGATTCCACCGACAATTCGGAGCGTCTTCAGATTCGCCATGATCAACTCGGACACCTGAAAATGTAATGAAACGTGACTCACTATGAATTGTAGTAAAAGCAATCTTTCCTTCCTATAACCAGAACACACTAGGGGCTCTTGTTTGATCCCCTCACTGCTTGAGATTTATTTTACCACAAAAGAACTTCTCCTCGATGGAGTTAAATTCGAAACTCTTGTAAAAAATAAATGCTCTTTAAAAATATGGAGCGAAGCAAGAAGCATTCCCGTCCGAATTTTCCATCTACAGCAAGATTATGAAAGTCATATCATTCCAGTCCGTGCTGCTCCTCAAGGATGAGCGCTGCACTACTTTCTCAGGTGGCGATCGTACAGCGTGAACCCCATCGACATGATATTCAAACTTCTCCATAAAAATCCTACACAAGAAAGGCGATGCCCGTCTTGTCATTCTGGCTAAAAAAAATCTATTTATTACATTACTCGTCATCACATTTGCTGTGGGGATCCCAGTACTTCTTGCAGTGGGTTCATTTTCCTAGAATTCATTGGTCTTCCATTATCACGTGTTTCGACTGCTGCTTAAGGATTTCGCCTGGCTTATAAATATCGTAGAATGCTGGTCCAGTCGATCTCCGTGCAGCCAGCACCTCGCCAACAGAAACAAATACAAACCTCAGTGATGCTTGTTCGAAGTGGTTGCACGACAAATGAGAGTACATACAAACGAAACCTCAAGACGACAAATGACAGCCTGCAGAGATGATAACTCATAAAGGTGCTGAACCAAGGTTCAGAGTCCTAACCACATTCAAACTAACTGAAGTGACTGTTGATCAGATCCAGTGCTTTTTATATAACAATTTTTCAAAAGAGTTTATCTCTATATTTGAAATATGGCCCCTTTTACACGTATGCCAATCCTGTTTTTTTTTTGCCGTACAACACTTCGTGGCCCATATGGCCCATTTAGTGTTGTTTTACGTACTCACACTTGCATTGCTCTCAGATATGAAACCAACTGTTGCTCTTTACATGTGACTTTGTCTATTCAGTGAATAATTCGTTCCAAAAGACCAGAACATACCTTCTGAAGCGTCTGACCACCCTTTCGTCGTTTTATACGCAACACTTTCAGTTTCACATTATCTAAAACATTTAAATGAGAAATGATGAACACATGGCACGCACAACAGCTAAAAACGCTTGACGAACCAGCATTTATAAGCTGATCCAGTAGAAGATTAAAAGTTGTCAGATCGGGATCTTCAATATTCAACGACACTTCTTTGATTTCTTTCATTTCATTGATGAGGAAGGCCATTAATTCTGTTGCAGCTTCCGGTGTCACTCGAGAGCCCTGAACGACACCATTCATAGAACGATTTGCAACCTTTCTTAAGGCAATAAATGAATCACATGTATAAGGTTCGTAATATCTAAACTACATCAGTGAGGATGATACTAAAGTGGTTAGTGATGCAGTCCACAAAAAAGCAAGGCGCCGTTTCGACCCCCTCCTCAACGCTCCAATCCCATCCATGTGATACCGCCTTAGTGCGGCTATCTCCAACGTTCTCGGTCGCTCATAAACGTCGATAACAAAGGATGGCACTCGTTAGCCACGTTTGCGAGGATAAACTCGTGCCCATAAACGGTACATAAATTGTCGACAACAGCCAGAAACAAGTCTGAACATTTCATGGCAGGATGCCTCTCTTCCTTTTGGAATCCATTAGACTGCACTTCTCGTCAAAAATTTTATCATTTATTTCAATACAGATATGAACGGGTTGACAGTGTTGATAACACTATGTCTCCAAAGCTCAAGTCGGCTAGACTAACAAGGTAAGGGGAGGAGAGCATCGCTGTGAAAATCCCTTTGGTTCCATTTCCTCAACAGGGCAACTGTTCACTAGTCTGGAACCATTTTCTTTCAAAACTACACTGTTATCTGGCAAGAACTTCGCGTTCTAGTAGCTACAAATAAGGCGTAAGTGATGCCGCCCAGTTGTGATCTTCGCACAAGATTCTAGAGTGAAGATCTTTTTACGGTCTTGATCACATCTTAGAATAGTGCAGTAGATTATGCAATGCAAAAAAAATGGTGTAGACGTTTCCAGATCGATTTCATATTTTAGTGACAGATCGTAGAAGTCTCTCTCGTTTAGTAATACTGGTAACAAAACATTATAACTGGGACCTCGGCAGCAACTCTTACACTGTTGTTTTACTCAACTGCCTAGAACGGCCTTATATGCACTAATGCAAGCCCTTCTGCAGGTTCTTCCACATGTGATATTTTCGACATCGTACTAAATGTGCTACATTAGGACCCAGATGATTGTTGTTTTCTATCTTTTTCGTTTCGATAACTTTTCATGAAGGTGGCTGAGGAGATATAAACCGAATTCCTATGCACTGAGGCGCGTTTGGCACAATCGCTTCTTTAGGAGCAGCCCGATAAGACTTTCCTTGACTTGTTAGTCGTGCAGGAAAGAAGTTTCGCACAGAACGCTGTTACACACAACTTGTCCTTTTTTCCAAGCGCGATTTAAGTTCCTCCTCAGCTTGTGTCTCCACCGAATATTTACGCAAAAGGTAGTAATCGGATCTAGTATAATATGATGGTGGCATAATGGTGTTAAGAAATCACCGTGTCACCGTCGCACCATCTTCTGTTTGTTGCATAACCGAACCTGAGCATGAAACCTGACTTTAGGAGAATCGCACATCGTCCTCTCGACAGTAGCCTTAGCGTCAACATTGAAGATGAAGACGGGTGATGTAGATCGAAAGATGATTTCTACCTAGCGAGATTTCTGCCAAAACAGAGACGGCTTCTCCTGTTTGATAGCCCATAAGTGAACTTTCGGATTGAAATACGCATTCCTCGCAGATTTCGACTTCTACATCGTCCTTGAGCGGTCGGTTACTTTTACATTACTATCGTCTCTGATTTCGGTTTTAACATCTCTCCGAATCGACCAGTAGGAAGACCGAGCGAAGGATTCGTCGCCGAAAACACCTCCGACCGATCCACATCGTGGTGAAAACCTGGATACGCTCTTGCAAGCTTACGTTAAGACTCCAGGGAGGACCAAGTTGCACGACCAGCAATAGGCCAGCCTCAGCACCCGTACACTGGGTGCTCCCGTCTATGACGTTAGGCGGTGAGACGAGCGGTGAGAGGCCAGAACTGGGGTTACGCAGAA